CAGGGCGGGGGTGGGGCGCCAGCCAGTGGGGATCCTGACAGGCGGAGGGACGGGGTCCCTGAGCTGGCGGTCCTGGCTTTGTGCGCGGCGGGTCTGCAGTGTGTTGCATAATCAGGGAAAACTGCTGAAGTGGGGAGAACCCAAGGGGGAGGGGGAGGGGAGGGCCGGGGTGGGGAAGGAGGGCAAAGGAAGCGCAGCCCCTCCCCTCTGACCTTGAGGCTCGGGAAGGGGGGGCAGCCGCGCCCGAAGATGCGGCTTGTCCCCTCCCCAGTGAGGGTGGGGCGCTGTCGCGGGGCGGAGCCGGCGGCCCTGTCTCATCTCTGCTCTCTCTTCCCCCCTTGCCCGCCTGCCTGCCTGCCCGCCCGCCCGCGTCCCCGTCCTCCCGGCCGCCCGGCCCCTCCATCCTTCTCTTTTGTCCTTCTCCCTGTCGCCTCCTCCCCTGTGTGTCTGCCGTCTCACACTGCCCCCCACCCCGTGTGTTTCTGCCGCCTCCCATTCCCTTCCCTTGTCCACCTGTCTGGCCCCTTCCGCCGCCCTCAGGATACCTCGGCGACTACGCGGGGCCCGCGTCCGTGTACGATGGCGACGCTGAGGCGGCCTTGCTCAAAGGGCCGTCCCCGGAGCCCATGTACGCTGCAGCGGTGCGGGGAGAGCTGGGCCCGGCGGCCGCGGGCTCGGGGAACCCCGCCGGGCTGTGGTGGAGCCGAGCTGAGGGGGCAGTTAGGCGCTCACGTCGGGGGCACCTCGGTTCTGGAAAGGAGGGAGCGCCCCGAAACCAGGAGGAAACGCGGGACCTTCGCCAGCATTAGTCAGCGAGCGTGAACTTAGAAGTGAAGAACTTCAAAAAGTTCTTTAGCTTTTGCGTCTTGGTCCTTAACAGAATCTGACGAGCGCGATACTGAAAGTCAAGTGGGATTCGGATTTAAACACCGGACAATAGAACATCGGAAAGTTTCGAGTAACTAGCACAGCAGATGATCAGAGTATGAGTCAAGGGCTCTGGTTTCTGCCAGGACCCACATGCCAGATGTGGTTCCTCAGCCAGTGGACTTTGGGAACTGGGATGCTCGCGCCTCTGGGCATTCGGAGGTCAAATGAGACGGGCGGAGAACAGTCCACGCAGGCTCGCGAGGCGTGTCACTGGGCACCAGCAGCGTGCGTGCCCTGGGAAGCACCCGTGTGCCAGGCATGCGGTAGGCACCCGGTAAACCTTTACCCTACAGCTAATGATTCACTTGGAGTATTTTAGATAAGGTCCTGAATCGGTGTGCACCGTGTTAACAAGTTGTATCAGCTCTTCCTCCACAAAAATGACCATTATTGCCATTTTTAACCAATTATTGGATTTTTGTAGAATAATACATTTTTGTACATGACTGTGGAGTCATATACCATTAAGTTTGGTAGAAGTAGGATGAGCTCCTTTGCTTTGGGTAGTAGTTGTAATTTAAATTACCTTGAAAAGTAAACTGGGATTACTGCTTCCACTCAGGACTTTCATTTGCTTTTATAAGGTGAGAGACTTCTTAGAGGAAGATTTAAGTCCCCCCAAAACAAAGTTAATATACGAGTATTTTTCGGTGCAGTCTTTATGATAGACACTTGCCACCTTTTCTATGGTTTGTGTTTGGGATGAGGGGCGTGAAATGGGGAGGGAGGTGGGTAGGGGAAATGAAAAAAGGGCATAGCAATTTGGAAGCTGCAAACGTTCACTGAGGATACTTGTAAGTATGTGCTGAAGTAGCGTCCCAGGCCGAAACCAGGAAATGTAGTCGTCTTGGCCTTCAGGTTTATGTTGTGTGTGCTCACGTTTTGATGCTGGCAACAGAATTTTTAGTGCAACATACAGGAAGGCTGTTAACTCTGGTGATGTGATAACAGACAGTTTTCTTAAGCTGAAAATTATTTTTTAAAGGATCTGCAGAGTCTTATGGACAACAGCTATAGACCATTGTTTACAAATATCACTTAAATGAAGATGTGGCAGCTCCAAGTGGGTGTTACAGTTCTTGTGTTGCATTAAAAGAAGCATGTGCTTCAGCATTTCATTGACAGATGGATGTTTTGAAACTATTTTAAAACACCAGTATTAAATGCGTACTGAATGTAATGCAGATTTTGCTGTGATTTCTATTTTGTTGACCTGGGAGGTCTGAAGTCTTATAATCACACGATGTATTGACCACTTGTTACTGTCCAAGGCAGCTTTAGCACCTACATTGTGCTCATGAATAGACAGGATAGAATTTCTCCCATCTGGGAAATCACTTTATGAGGTGAGCTAAAATGAGTACCTGACAAAGCTGTTTTTAAAAGTTGATAACATCAACCAGTGTTTGTTGGGCCTGTACCGAACTGGGCAGTGTTCTCAATTCACACGCATTGGCTCACTTAATCCTCACAACAGCACTGTGCCATTGTCTCCTCGATGAGAGACACGGGAGGTTGAGTAACTTGCCTGTGTCAAACAACTTAGGTAGCAGAGCCATGGTTCCTAGCAGGTTGGGTTCCAAAAATCCAAACTGAATTTCTGTGCTATACTGAGTTTCAAATTTTATGAATGAAATACAATGGGTATTCAAAAGAGCGTTCTGTAAAGAATTTCAAAAAGAGACAGAGAAACTGGTATTGCAAGATGTTGATGACGGCCTGTCCAGGTTTCCATTTAATTATACTTCCTATGTAAGAGCCCCCGGCCCCTCCATGACATGGGATTCTTTGTTTCTAGGCTATCAGTCACTCAGTTACTACAATTACGGCATTATCTTAATAATAATAAGTAGCATTTTTCAATGAGGAGTTTAAATGTCTGTTCTCAGGCTTTAAGTTAAATGTAATACTTAATATATTGACACTGATAAGCTTATTTCCAGACATATAA